TATATTGTCTTTTTGCACAGTCGAAGGAGAGTTCAGGACACATTTCACTGTGTTGCACTCGTATGACTCTGCATATAACAAATAAAGAGCCTTGAATCTTGAAGTAAGGAGCAAAAGACCGGGACTGAGCTCTTGGCAACGCAGGAAACTGAGCTACTGACTGTAGTGACGTTTATGGGTGAAGTTGAGCAGCTGACTGAGCTAATATCTGAGTTTCATGCTGAGCTGGCAGCTCTGAGTGCTCTGGCCACAACTCAGCGCTCCCTAAATCAGAGTGCTCTAATTCAGCACGTGCGATTTCAAAGTCCACTAAAAAAGCTACACAGTCCGCTGAATTAGCTCACTTGATCCCCTCGCCAAGGTCGAAGGCGGTTGTTCCAGAACCATGTTCAGCCCCAGTTACTAACTTTAGAGCAGCCTGGTTAACAGCCACACAAACAGTCTGAGAATGCACAGCCTGTTAATGGGCTCTAGTTTAAACACTCCAGGCTCAGAATGAGCACAAGAAAAATAGTTTCCATCACTCCCTGAACACTCCTGCCCAGAATGAATAGTCACTGTTTCAGCAGGTAATGACAAAATGCCTCGGTTACTCACAACAGCTTCACAATTAGCAACTACAGGGACGGCTGACAGTGAACTAACAGTCTCCAGGCCCACTGGCCCAGAGAAACCCACAGTGGACAGGTTAGACAAAACCTTTCTCTCTACTTTCAGCTGGCTTAGCATTGCTAGTGAGTGGGGAAGAAACGGCCTTCATCTTGTTAATAGCAAGTGGCGTTACAACTATGGTGGAGTCTGAGTTACTCACTGTGCTGACTAGCACTGCTGGTCCTTTGTCTGCTGACTCAGCAGACGTTGAAGGAGTGAGAAAAGATGGGGTAGGGTGCCGATGGCGAGGAAGCCTTCTTCCCTGAAGTGGAGGGTCCAACAAGTGAGCAGCAAACGACGGTGGGGAAACTGTCCGCCTATGAAGAAAAACCAGGCAACAAGAGCTCCCAGGGAGCAGGGTTTTAATAGTTTTGCAATTTTCATTAGTTTTTATTTTTATTTAGTTTTGACTTCAGATTTTCAATTTTATATCAGTTTTAATTCGTTTTTATGAATTGTTTGCTAGTT